CATGTTTAGTGTGAAAAGTTCAGGAGCTGGGGCCATTTTCCTTCTTATCATCAGTACTGTCAGGTGTGATCATAAGTGTTTGGAAATGGTCTGGTTATCTTTCTATTATTGATTTCTGGTTTGATTTATTTTTGATTAAAAAATGCAGTGTATGATTTCAATCCTTTTACAGTTTTTGATGTTTTCTTTATCATCCAAGATAGGACTTGGTATATCTTGGTATCTTGGTATGTATCCTATGGGCACTCAAAAAGAATGTGTGTGCTTCTGTTGTTGGGTGGATGCCAAATCAATAGGATTGTTAAACTCACTGAGAGTTTCTACATTAAATGTAGGGCAGGCATGAGTAATTCAGAGACCTGCATAACTCAGGGAAAAACTACAGAATGCCAATTTAGAATGTCAACAAACAACCTCCAAACACTATGTGTAAATGGGGACAACTTGATTAGAATCAGGGAATGGACATTAGATGACACATCGAGACTTTGCAAGAATTAGTGGAGAGGGAAATTCAGGCTGGAAAAATCTTCCTGAAGTATTTCAAATATGACATCTCCTCTCATGTATGGCCAGACCTTTGAAGACCAGTACACAGACCTGTAAAACTAACTTTATCACTATTCCTGCTTTCTGCGATGATTCATGCCCTTAGCAGATATTTACAGCAATGTTCCAAGTGCTAATGGGTAGGAATGCAAAGGTGAATATGAAATTGGCAGTGACATGGAAGACCTGCTTGATGGCTATTAACCAAGCCAACCTGTGACACATAGATTATACTGGAAATTATATGAGCTGAGATTCTATGTTGGTCAGAAATGGAGGCCCATGCTCTTTCTGTAACACCTCACTGTACCAGAGTATCTTCCTCTTAGCTACTGCAGCTTCTTCCCTTTGCATTTAACAACTTAATGATGCTTTCACCTGCTCTATTAAGGACAAAACACATATCTCAATTAGACAGCAGTTATCTTATATCATTATCAACAAAAGGAAACAACTGTTGGAGATGAGTGATCATTTCTTCGTTTCTTTGGCTCCACAAATATCCATAATCACTGAGCTTATTCAAGAAACTTCAGAGGCATGAAGCCTTGCTCTCTACATCCAGATAATTTTGATTTTACTTTTTATGGATCAACCATATAAATCCAGTTTATTCTGGATAGAATTTGACTGCAACAGAAATTGACTGAGTAACTTAAGCAGAAAAACAATTCATTAAAAAAATACCATGATGTCTCAGAATTTCTGGGGATTCTGGAGTTCCAGGATTAGGTCACGGAGATGTAGCTGACACTCCTGCTGGCACTACCATCATTGTTTTTCCTGGAGATCAAGGTGCTGGACAATCACCAGTGCTACTGCTTACTGAAGTCACTGGCCTTTCATTTCTTAATTGTTCTTGAAAACTTTAAAGTAGGCAAGAACTTCTGAACTGACTAGCTCTAGACTACACGTCCAGATCATAATTTCTAGCGGGTCGTAGTAGAAGTTTACTTCACAACAATAAGATCCAATCAGAAATTTCCCCACATGGGAAAGGAAATTGCATATAGAACACCCAATATAAAAATATCTACTAGAAGTATTATTATGTAGAATCTTCAGCATTTTTCAGAAATGGAGGCTCACTTATTCCAAATTCTACGAGAAATCATAAAGACAGGATTCTAATGCTGATATTTCTGACTACAGAGCCAGAATTCTTTTTTAAAAAAATGTATTTATTTTTAATTGACACACAACAATTATACATATTTATGGGACATGGTGTGATGTTTCAATACATCACACCATGTATACAATAAATAAATTGTATATAATGTATACAATGAATAATAATCAAATTAGGAAAATTAGCATATCTGTCACCTCAAATACTTATCTTTTATTTGTGGTGACAACATTCAAAATCCTCTCTTCTAGCTATTTTGAAATATACAATATGTTATTGTTAACCATAGTCACCTCCTATGCAATAAAACACTAGAACTTATTTCTAATTGTAACTCTGTACCTGTTGACCAAACACTCCCAATCCTTCCTCCCCTTTACCCTTCCCAGCCTCTGGTAAGGATCATTCTACACTCACCTTCTATGAGATCAACTTCTCTAGTTACCGCATATGAGTGAGATCATGTGGCATTTGTCTTCCTACTGACCCATAAAAAAGAACGAAATCTTGACAACTGCAGCAACCTGAATGAGTCTGGAGGACATCATGTTAAGTGAAATAAGCCAGGCACAGAAAAGACAAAGCGAGGATTCTAAGTTATTTAGCCAATGTCCTCCCTCAAGTAATCTCTTCTCTGACAGAGACAGCAGATAGTGAAAA